ACATATTGCAAAGTTTAGCTGATGCACCAAAGTGACATCTTGAGACAGCGCAATAAGTAAATCTTTTTATGTTTTCTGGGAATTGCCTTATTGATGATATGTAAGTCTGGCACCCTTTTAAGGGGAAAGAGGTACACAAAAAAATTTCTGGAGAGCTTAATCTGCTATATGTTCTGGTGTTATTCTATTTACAGAGATTGCCACATTTCAGAATATTCCTTATATAAAAGCTTGTTCTAGGAGTACTAAGGTTATCTTGAGTATCTAGTGGCATTGTATTTGGTCCGAGCTTGTCTCAAGCTTGCTTATTCTGAAAAAGGCTTCAAAGATCTCAAATAAAAGGCAGACGTTTTAGCTTCTAAATACCATCCCACCTTCCCAGAAATTTCTAATATCTGGGACAATTTAGGATTTGAAAACCCTCTGATACCTGCATAATGAACATTTTTGTATAGCTAACCCTGAATTGTACCCCACATCTTTAAAATAAAAAATAAAAAGGAAAGAAAAGCCCCTGAAGCAGGTCTGGAGCTTGCCTGGCCCCAGAGGCTCACAGCTTAGAAGGCGGGGTTCAGTTCTTGTTTGCCTACTTGTCTGCATGTTCCTTGTATAGTGGCTGGCACTTACAGGCACTTAAAAAAATGTTTGATGACTACACAAGTAAACAAAAGAAATTCACGTTCACGTTTTTAGGGTAGGACCTGGAAGCTCCCCAAATAGGCTCACATTTGGAGAGTATGAATTCAGACTATTCCAAGACGGCAACTAAACTAGAATGGTTTAATAATTTGGGAATTAAAAATAAATGCCTGCCTCCCTTAAGCTTCAGCAAATTTTTAAAACTGAAAGATGGAATTTTTGCAATGCCCCACATTTGTTTGTTATTTGGGTAGACCTTGCATATTACTAATTGGTTTTACACAAAGCCAGATTATGATGTTTAGAGGATCTAAATGCTAATTGGATTTTATAGCATCCCACATATATTACTCCAACCCTCCACTACATTCCTGTGTAATTAAAAACTGTAAGACCAAACCATAAAACATAAAACTTACTTGTATGCATAAGTCAAACATTTTTCTTCTGATTGCAAATGTTCTGATTGCAACTGTTGACTATTTTGTAAAAGATAAAATTTTCTAATTTTCATTTGCCCTACTTTGCTTATGTCCTAAGCCTGTGCTTAGGCAGCTGGTTTTATCCAGTTCTCCAAAAAAGGAGATGCATGCATGCAGATTAACTAAATGTGCCTGGTTAATTCTTTAAGTGACCTTGGAACTCTGAGATTTATAGTCTTCAACCTTTGGCACCGTGGCCATGGTCCCAAAAGGACTGCTGAGGTGCTAATGCTTCATAGAGGGGTGAGGTCACAGGATTGGAATACATTTGATATCACTGAGAGCAAAGCTATAGTTATTGCTATATAGACTATAAATGCTATAAATGTCATTCTATAGCAAAATCGTTATTGCTATAGAATGACATTTTCCATTAATATTATTTATTATTTACATTAATTGTTTTTGATAATCATAATTTTTCAATCCAAAATAATTTTTTGGGATTAGAAAATATAGTTTACTTAAAAAGCAAATTAGAGAGAGAGAAAGAGGACATTCATCTCCCCAATACAGGGGAGGGGGCCAAAGCCAGGAAACATGGTGATGACCATAGTTCAAAGAGCACATGGCCACACCAGCGTCTAGTAAGGCAATGGCCAATCCAAAGTAATTTTATGTGGGGTGTTTTTATTGAGTTATATTTAAAATCTTTTGCTACTCTAACTTTTTACTTATATCATGTTCTTGCAAACTGCTTAAGGGACTTTTTGTTCCTGTTATAGTGCTTATACACATGATGATCAAAAAATTTTTTTGAGAAATTTTTGATAAAAAATTGTAACCGCAGTTATTCAGAAGTCACAGGGAATCCAAGTATGGCATTCCTGTCCACCTCCAAAGCAATTTTTAATCACTCCTCTGATTCATGAAGTTAACATCACTTTATTCTACTATATACTGGCACATGTATTTAAATCAGTAGTCTAATAGCAGCTGAAGTAGTTGATGGTTTCTTGATTTTCCAACTGTTATTTAATACCACACAATAATCGATATCAGATCCTGTACTAAAGAATTGGCAGTGGAATGTATAACAATGAGAAGATATGTAAGACCTAGTAGATGGTCAAATTATATTCAATCCATTTCTTTTTGTTTGTTTTTGTAGAGACGAGGTCTTGAATTCTATGTTGCCCAGGCTGGTTTCAAACTCCTGGGCTCAAGCATTTCTCCTGCCTTGGCTTCCCAAAATGCTGGGATTACAGGTGTGAGCCACCACACCTGGCTCAATTCATTTCTTTATCTTTATATTTGGATTATTCACAAGCAACTCTACTTATAAAATTGAGATCATGCAATTTGACAACAGAGCTTAATATATTGATTCTCTGTGCTCAAATACATACAAAATATTTGTTTATGCTCTAGAGAACAAAAAAATGTTTACTTCTTATAAGTAGAGAGGAATCAAATTCCTGGGTATTATGCCATTTCTCTGGTTTAACGTCTGTAATTACCATCAAAGATAATTAATGGCAATTGAAATCACATGTGATTTTCTTGAGGCAACAAGTTCCTTCATAAACTGAGAACAGTTTGTTATGAATAATTTCTGAGCTCCTTTATAGTATTCAATTAATTTCCAAGGCATAGAGGGTAATCTTTATTTGTGGTTACAAATTTATATGTTTCTAGATATCAGTGCTAAGTTAATACTGTGCACAGTACATATACTTTTAGATTTATACTAATAACCCATCTTACCAATCAATCCCCCTGTGGTAGTTATTTCTATTAAAGAACTGTACCTCCTCAAAGGTTTTTGGGCTGGGGGAGTTACTAAGGATGGAAGGATGCATAACCAGGAACAAATACAAAGCAGTGGTACCTGAAAAGACAATAGAGGTTTAGAAATTAATCAAATGAAAACAGTTTCCTATGATTAGCACATCAAAGCCATCAATAAATTAAATATTACAATGACCTGAACATATTCATTATAAGTACTCCTTGAATTAAATTGAATAGATAACCAGCATTTAAAAATAGGCAGATTTTAAAAATGGAGGTAGTGTGGTATTAGGAGAAGAGCCCTGTTGCAGGGATTGAGAGAACTAGTTTTTGGCCTCAGCCCAGTCACTGATTGTGACTCTGGCTTTTAGCTTCTCTATGTCTCAGCTTTCTTAATGGAAAGCTACCTTGTTTATTTCATAGATTTATTCTGAGAATGAAAAGACATAATGCACCTGAAGATATTTTGACATTAATAAATCACTATATAAATGAAATATATCATTATTTAATATATTACGTTACCAAAATGGATACTTGGGCTCTCCTACAAATTTCTTCCTGAGGTCTATAAAAGCTACTTAAACTTGAGACAGAATTTAATCTTTCAACAAGTTTGCTTAAGCTTGAATATACTTATAAAAATAATGTCAAAAATTGTTTCAATTGCTAAATTTGAAAAAAAAATGGTGTCTTTTCTTAGACAGCTTATAAAATTTGTGTTTTATTGGAAAGAGAATGGCTTATCACAGGTGCCTATATAGATTTGTGGCTATTGGGGAGCAAGACTGTGATTTTTTTAAAAGTAAGCAATGTTAGAAACTGCAAAATTGGTGTTTTATAAGCCTAAATTAGGAGGTAAAGGGTGTGGCTTAGTAGGATTGCTACAAGAGACTATAATGCTTCAAGTTCAGTTTGTTGAAAATTTAACCATGTACTTGAATTGAGATTGTGTTTATAAGATCATAATATAAAAGTATTTCTAAGTCTTCAGTACTCCCAAGAGAGAAATATACCCTGTGGTTTCTACTTCTCCACTCTGATGTGATTTATATTATTGTACAATCTGTGGAGAAAGACCTGTTGATTATATTCCAGGTCAGTAGTTAATAGTAATCAGACCTGGCCTTATAAAATTTCTCTCACTTAGAGAAATTACTATCCTAATTTTGCTTAGTAATAATGCCATGTTGCCATTTGTGAAAAATTTTGAATATTCTTATCTCTGTGTGCTTAAATCTACCATATCTATAAAATAGAAAAATTGTTAAAAATAACCCTGTCAACAGCAATAGTGTATAAAAAATGAATTGAAAGAGGCAGTGTTTCTAGATTATATCTGTTCTAAACAATGAACACTTTATCTACAGATTACTATAGGGAATGAACCATAATCATCTATGATATACAAAGTAACAATGTTCATCACAAGTTTGACTTAAAATGGTGGTCCTCAAACTTTAGCATGCATCAGATTCACCTCGGGGGGTTATTAAAACACTGATAGCCAGGCCCTATCCCAAAGTTTCTGATTCAGCAGGTCTATGTTATAACCTAAGAATTTGCACATCTAATAAGTTCTCTGGTGATGCTGACATTGCTGGGTGGGGCAAACATCCTTTGAAATTCACCAACTTAGAACAATGGGAAACAATAACTTATCGAGTAAAGATGCTCCATTACTTGAAATCCACAGTAAAGTAGAAAGAGCATGTTCTTTGAAGTCAGGTATTAATAAATTCTAGAATCAAGAGTTTTGGTTCTAGTATTTATCAGCAGTGTGAATTTGAACAAAAATTATTTAATCTCTCTTGAGTCTTAATTTTCCCATCTGTCTAGTGGGAAAAAAAAAAATACTACTTAGCTATCAGGGCTTTATGATGGTCAAGTGAGATTACCTATATGAAAGTCCCTAAATAGTGCCAGATCTGAATATTTGAAAGACATTTTTACAAATAAGAACTTTATTGAGATATAACTTAAAATTATAATAAATATATATACTCATCTCAATGATATAATTACATAGCTATAATATATAATGTAGTTCATAATATAATTATATAATATAGGTATATAATTAGATCATGAATATATAATTCAGAAAATGTATAAAGAAGCTTTTTTAAAACTGAAAAGAATAAATCTTTGTGGGAATAAGAAATATGGCTATTCTAAAATAAAAAAGAAAACAGATCAATTCTTTTCTTAGATCAACTGAAAACATTCTTGTCGAAATTTTATTTTAAAGAATTTTATTAAATCATGTTATTTACTTTTAATAGCCTTTTGTGATCAGCATTAACAATACCAACAGAAAAGATGGATGTGACCTAATTACTTTGCATAGTCAGTAAAAGGCATAATGTAATTTACCAGTGATCAAAAATTTGTTGTGTTTTCTGAATTATGTCTTTGCCTACACATATTATTGGATCTGAACAACTGTCCTGTATATATATTTTGTCAGTGGTAACCCAACTACATAATCACAGACACACACAGACATGTAAATAACCATCCATACAGTTTCAGTTTTTTAATTTTTGTCAGCTTCCACACTGAAAAATATTTGAATATTTAGATAACTTGAAATCTATGCAAAATTTTTCAGAAAACACTTTTGACAAAAATTATGATAAAAATGAAGCTACTTAGTTATCATGTAACTGACATAAGATCTTTTTTGTCTAATTAAAGAATCAATTTCACAAAATACTTATATATACAACAACATACTTATATATACAATCTCAGAAGTGTTATGCTAAATGAAAGGAAAACATAAGATTACACACTATATGCTTTCAGTTACATGAAATTCTAAGAAAAGCAAAACCACAGTGGCAGAAAGTGGTTGCCTGTTGCTGGGATAGAGTGGGGATCTGGGGGATCGATTGCAAAGGGACATGAAGAAACATTTTTAGGATAACAGAACTGTTTTATATCTTGAATGTGGTGGTGGTTCACGACTATATACAATTTCTAAAATTCATTAAATTGTACATTTAAAATGGGTGAATTTTGTTGCATGTATATTATACTTCAATAAAACTAGGGAAAAATCAGTATTTATAAAAAATAATCAATTTCTATAAAAATTTTCTTTCAAAGGTAAATGTTATCTTCAAGTTGTAAGAGACATTTGCAAACCCAATTGAGTTTTAGATGATAAGTAATAATTCTTCCATCTAACCATGATATTAAGACATTTGTATATTCGGCTCAACATGAGAGGAAGCATATCCTCCAGTGCTATCTAACGCAAAATGATGTGCCAAGCCTTCAGTATGTGATCAGTCATGACAGATTTATGTGATGACAGTGGGGGTTCACCGAAGACACTTTGTTTAAATGTTTTTCTAGTTGCTTTTGACTTTAGATACATAAGGATATGTGAAATAAATAATGACAAGAAAAATATTTGTCATATTATTGTTTCCAGATTGTTATCTGCAAATAGGACTAAGAAAAAATGAATAGGCTAGGCCAGGATTGGTGGCTCAACCTGTAATCCTAGGACTTTGGAAGGCCTAGGCGAGTGGATTGCCTGAGCCCGCGGGTTTGAGACCAGTCCAGGCAACTTGGTGAGATCTTGTCTCTATAATAAATAAAAAACTAGCCAGGTACGGTAGTGCGTGCCTGTAGCTCCAGCTACTTGGAAGGCTGAGGTGGAAGGATTGCTGGAAGCCAGTAGGTTGATGCTGGGGTGGCTGTGAGCATGCCACTGCATTCCAGCCTGGGTAATTGAGTGAGACTCCAACTCAAAAAAAAAAAAAAAGAAAAAGAAAAGAATGAATAAACTAAACTCTCTGCATACATTGCACAGAATTCTCTTCAGTTAGTTATAGAGAGATGAGAGAGGGAATGTATTCCCCTTAGCAACTGAAATGGCTGTTTTCTGTGAAGCCACAATCCAAGGGTCCTGAATAATTTGTCATGCAGGACACAGCATGAATGTCTGGCATTTTAAAGCTTCCACTGTGCTTCATTTTAATACTTATTCTTACAGAAACAAGAAGTTTATGGGGAAAAAACCTGCACACCAATTTAAGAAAAAGTGCAAAAGATGTCTCATGGGAATGAATAAATACCTTCTTAGCACAACGTTTTGTTTATGTTTAGGAATTCTGCTTATAAAACATCTTTTAGACTTTCAAAAAGTGGTCATCTCTGCAAGAAATAGTTTACAAGTAAACCATATCAGGAAGGTGGCAGTTTAAGAGATAATTTTTCTAGAAGAGATTTATTATAAGGAGTTATAGGTATTTATATATGTTTTGCTTGAATTTTGACAAAATCCTGTTAGTTGCTCTCTGAACACTTGATTAGTTTTGATTTTAGAAATATTAATACAAATACTTTTCAATTAAGATTTTGGGAAAAAAATAACATGTGATACCAAATTGATTACTGAATACTCCAAGTGTGTGACATCTATTTCATCATTTCACTTAAAAAAAAAGTCACTTTGAGTAGATCCAAGATGATCACTGTGGAGCAGCAGACTGTCACCACTCTCACCAAGCAGGGCAGAGAGTACGGACCCAGCTGCCAATAAACAGAGACATCTTGAATACTTTTGGATATGTGAAACACCCTGCACCCAGCAAAGGTCTCTTTGAATACACAGAGACCAGAAAGTGATGGCAGACATAGGACTACAGGTACCCCATTCTCCACTGTGCCCCAGGCTCACACAAAAACTGCAGACCTGCCCAACGGACAAAAGTGGGTGAGTGAGTCAAAGATGCTTTAAGATGATTGTGTGTGGGATGATCTCATGCAGGAGGAGTCCTGGGCAGGATGCAAGTGTTTGGGTAACCTCAGCTCAAGCACAATGGGAGAAATACCTGTGTTGGGGCAACCACCATGAGTGAGGCTTTTCACTGACTGGTGACTCATAGGCAGGGAGAGCCAACCTGCAGAGTGAACCTGACAGGTACACACCACCAGTGCCTGGGGGCCATCACCCCAGTCAGACCGGGAAGAATCCTCTCAAGCCCTGCATGCCAGCAGGGTGAAGTCCATCCACTCCTCTGCAGCAGAAGACTCACACTATTTCAAGAGCAGAGTGTGGACCTAAACAGGGAGGGTGCAACCCAAAAGATTACCCAAGGACTCTTTCAGTAGGAAGACACCTGGGCTGTAGACTGCAGTTAGCAAGTGGGAGACCCATGCCCCCATTTGCTACCCACAGAATGCCAGCAGTGGGGCCTGAAAGTTGGTCTGACAAGTTTAGTGGCAGGTGAGAGAAGCTCTGCAATGAAAGAATCCTCCCATAAGGTGGAGCAAGGAGTAGATGTGAATGTCCCTCCCTCTCTAACTGACAAATATGAAAACACAGAAAGAACTCTAGAACAGAGGGTAATTGAATAGCTTCAGAGCTATAAATCTAAAGTGAAATTATAGAGAGCAAATAGAGGCCTATCATAAATGAAGAAAAGTCAATGAAAAAATATAGACAACCCTCAGAGTCCTAAAAATATAGTACCTGAAAAAAGCAGCTACTGAAGCACATACAATGGAAACCCTAAAAATGACCTGCCCCAGATGACAGCTACAGAAATAAGAGATTGGATGGCAAAGGTAAACAGGAACCAAGAGAAACTAGAAGCAAAACTCATTTAAGTTATACAGGAAGTAAAAGAAGAGATGGTCAATTTCAAAACAGCCCATTCTAAAATAATGGAAATGAAAAACTTCATCCTGGAAATTAAGAACACACGAACAAGCATAGGTAGCAGGGTCAACCAGGCAGAGGAAATAATCTCAGAGCTTGGAAGACCAAAACTTGGAATTAATCCAGTCTGTCAAAAACATAGAACAAAAGCTTAAAAAGAAGGAGCAGAGCCTCTAAGAGATGTGGGAGTATGTCAAGAAGCCAAATTTATGCCTGACTGGTCTTCCTCAAGCAGAAAGGGAAGTGGAAACACCATGGAACAAGAATTCCATGAGGTCAGTCAAGAAAACTTCCCACATCTTGCCAGAGAGATGATTATCTAAGCACAAGAGATTCAGAGAACCCTCACAAGGTACCATATGAGAAGACCATTCCCAAGGCACATAGAAATCAACCACCACAAAATAAGCAAGAAAGAAAAAATTCTAAAGGCAATGAGAGAGAAAGATCAGACTATCTTCCAGGGAAAACCCATCAGGACACTGACCCTCACGCAATCATAGTTGAAGACCTAAATATCCCACTAACAGTTTTAGATACATTATTGAGGCAAAACACACAAACAAACAAAAAACAGCAAGGAGATCCGGAACCACAACTTGATGTTCTATCAAATGTATTTTATAGACATCTACAGAACACATCATCCAACATTGATTAAGTATACAGTCTACTCATCAGCATATGGAATGTACTCCAAGATTGATCACATTCTCAACATAAATCAAGCATGAACAGATTTCAAAAGATCAAAATAGTACCATGCATCTTCTCAGACCACAGTGGAATAAAAATAAATATTGCCACCAACAAGATCCCCCCCCAGAACACACAAAGACATGGACACTAAACAACATGCTGCTGAACAACATCTGGGTCAACTTGGAAATCAAGACAGAAATAAAAAGATTCCTGGAAACAAACAAAAACAAAGACACATCTTATCAGAATCTCTGGGATGCCATGAAAACAATGTTAAGAGGAAAATTCATAGCATTGCATGTACACATCAAGAAAACAGAATGATCACAAGTAAAGGTGCTGAAAAAGCAAGATCACCTAGATCCTAACTTCAGCAGAAGAATCCAGATCACTGACATAAAATCTCAATTGAAGGCTATAGAAGACAAAAATATCATAGAAAGGATCAGCAAGACCATACACTGGTTCTTTGAAAGAATAAATAAGATTGACAGTTTCCTGACCAGACTGACTAAAAAAAAAAAAAAAAAAGAGAGAGAGAGAGAGAGAGAGAAAGTCTATATAAACACAATTAGAAATGCAAAAGGCAAAGTCACAACTGACCCTGAAGAAATTAAAAAGATTATCAGAGGTTACTATAAAAACCTGTATGCAACATAAACTAGAAAACCTAAAGGAAATAAAGGACTTTAGACATGACACAACCTCCCAAGATTGAAACAAGAAGAAATTGACCAATTTCCAAACAGACCAATAACAATCCAGGAAATCAATTCAGTCATAAGAAATCTCCCCCCCACACAAAAAAGCTCCAGACCAGATGGCTTCTCAGCTGAATTCTATAAGACACACAAGGAACAACTAACGTCAATCTTATTGAAAGTATTTCAGGCAATTGAGAAAGATGGAATGCTCCCCAGCTCATTTTATGAAGCCAACATTATACTGATACTCTAACCTGGGAAAGAACCAACAAGGAAAGATAATTACAGGGTAATCTCCTTGATAAACATAGACACAAAAATTCTAAATGTGATTCTAGCAAACTGAATTCAAGGACACATCTCAAGGATCATCCACCATGAACAGGTGGGTTTCATTCCTGGGATGCAGGGCTGGTTCAACATTCACAAGACCATAAATGCAATTCAGCATATCAACAGATATAAAATCAAGAAGCACTTGGGTATGTCATTAGATGCAGAAAAAGCATTCAACAAAATCCAGCATCCCTTCCTGATAAAAACCCTTGGGTACCTAGACATAGAAGGTACATTCCTTAAAACAGTAAGAGCTATCTATGCTAAACCCACAGCCAACATTTTGCTAAATGGGTAGAAATTGGAAGTATTCCCCCTAAGAACAGGAACAAGACAAGGATGCTCCCTTCCTGTTAGACATAGTGTTGGAAGTCCTAGTTAGAGCAATCAGGCAAGAGAAGGAAATCATGGGTATCCAAATAGGAAAAGAGAAAGTTAAGCTATCCTTCTTTGCAGATATTATTTTATATCTTGAAAACCCCAGGGAGTCTGCCAAAAGCATCCTCACACTGCTAATTGACTTTAGCAAAGTCTCAGGGTACAAAATCAATGTGCAAAAGACAATTGCATTTCTATACACCAGCAATAAGCAGGCAGAGAACTAAATAAAAAGCACAGTCCCATTCATAATAGTCACACACACACACACACACACACACACACACACACACACACACACACACATAAAACAAAACACCTTGGCATTAGCATTCATGTAACCAGAAAAGTAAAAGATCTTTACAATGAGAACTACAAAGTCCTGCTCAAACAAATAGAAAAATATCCTATACTTATGGATTGGAAGAATCAATATTGTGAAGATGTCCATTGATAAGCCCAAGAGAATCTACAGATTTGTGCAATGTCCATCAATTTACCAATTTTTTTTGTCAGACCTGGAAATGACAATACAGAAATTCATATGGAAACAAGCAAACAAAAAAAACAGATTGCCAAAACAATCCTCAGCAAAAGGAACAAATTAGGAAGTATCACACTTCCAGACTTTAAAGTTTACTACAAGTCTACAGTAACCAAAATGGCCTGGTGTTAGTACAAGAGTAGGCACATAGGCCAATAAAGTAGGACAGAGATTCCAGAAGCAAAAACTGAAGTCTCTCAACAAAGTCATCTTTGACAAAGCACACTGGGGAAAGAAGACCGTATTTAGCAAATGGTGCAGGGAAAACTGACTGCCCACATGCAGAAGAATGAAAGAGGACCCCTACCTATCACGATATACAAAAATCAACTCTAAATGTATCAAAGACCTAAACTAAATGTAAAACTTCAAGCTATAATACTAGAAGAAAATGTAGGAAACACCCTTATGCACATTGGAGTAGGCAATGAATTTTTGACCAAGTTCCCAAAAGCAAATTGGGAACATATCAAACTGAAAAGCTTTTGCACAGCAAAATAAATCATCAAGAGAGTGACAGACAACCTACAAAATAGGAAAAAGTATTTGCAAATTATGTATCTGACAAAGGCCTAACATCCAGGATCTACAAGGAACTCAAAGTTAAAGGGAAAAAAAACAACAACAGACAACCCTATTAAAAAGTGGGCAAAGAACCCTGAACAGATACTTTTCAAAAGAAGACATATAAGCAGTCAGCAGACATGAAAAAATGCTCAGCCTCGCTAATTATCAGAGAAATGTAAATCAAAACTACAATGAGATAACATCTAACACCAGTAAGAATTGATCATGTAAATTAAAAAACAACAAATTCTGGTGTGGGTGTGGAGAAAAAATAATGCTTTTACACTGTTGGTGGGAGTGCAAGCTAGTTCAACCTCTATGGAAAGCAGTGTGACAATTTTTAAAGGAAATAAAATTTGGCCCTTCCATATGACCCAGCAATCCTTCTCCTGGGAATATACCCAGAGGAACATAAATCTTTCTACAAAAATGACACTTGCACACACGTTTATTGCTGCACTATTCACAATAGCAAAAACATGGAATCAACCCTACCTCCCATTAAAAGTTGATAAAGAAAATGTGGTATATATACACAATGGAGTATGCAGCCATAAATAAGAACAAAATCATGGGTTTCACAGCAAGTTGGATGGAGTTGAAGATCTTCATACTAAGTGAACTATCACTGAAACAAAGAACTGAATACCACTTGTTCTCTCTTGGAAGTGGGACCTGAACATTAATCACATGAGCACAAGGGATGGATCAGCAGTCACTAGGCACTGCTGGGGGAGGGGAGGACATAACAAGACAAAGGTACCTGGTCCTGTGCCAGGGGAGTGAGGACCAGTTGGAGGCCCAAACTTCACCTGCATGCAGCCTACTTGTGTAGCTAATCTTTACTTGTACCCCACATCTCTGTAATAATAAATTTAATTTAAAAATTAGCTGTAGGCATCTAAAAAAACCACTTTGATAAGCATTTAATTACATTATGGAATTAAAAATTATGTCAGAGAAAAACATGTTATTGATAAATCAGCATTTATAAGGAGTTTATGAACTCATTGAGACAAGAACGCATTGTCTAGTCATCAGGAACTTTACACTGGTTAATCATAGCATAAAAAGTTCTTACCAGTTTTCTGGGGTCCTATTACCAAGAATTTTGGTAAGCGATCACAAGTTTTTTCTTTAGACCAAATGTCTCTGTGGCGTTTGTCATCACAAGGATTCTAAATGGGAGAATATAGAGATGTATTTTTTGTGATTGTGTCAATTGTGTGATAGCTTTTCCAACTTCTGTCAAAGATATCCCAGGAAACAACAGGATAAAAATGAGTCTCTTTTTAAAAAACGAAAGCCCCAAAGTGGCATTATAGAAGCTTCCGAATAACTCCTTTCCATCCTGAAGTTGAGAGTCTTCTGAGGACGTTGGGGAGGGGAGGTATTTACACCTTGGGTAAATAGCCTCATAGCATTGAGAATTAAATACACACACACATTTATTTTATTACTGGTATTTCTGTCCTAATTTTTTAAAAATAGGAACTTGATGGGCAGAGACCATGCTTCTGCTAACCTAAAAGAAGATGCACTCTCAGTATTCAATAAATAACTGAAATATAAGGTGTCAGATTTTTTTCAAAGTTACTTTGAGCTTTCCGGCTGTGCTTCAAAGGGATAAGGATATGGCCATAATACTACCATTTAAAGAAAGCAGATTTTGCTCAGCTGTCTTCAAAGGCTGGTAAATGTATATCTAAAAATGTGTAACTTTACAGACTATGATACTTAAGTTTTAGCAAAAGGGTAAAATGAAGGTGAATTACTACCTTAGGGATTCTACTTTTTGGTCTATAATATTTAGTATCAATCCCCACTGTGCAAGACATGTCTAGAGCAGCCTTCATGTTAACTACAAAGTGTGTATTATGTAGAGAAGGGGGAAGAATTACGGTACCCTTTAATATTATATCAAGAATGGGCACCAGGATCATTTTTTATTTCTATTCAATTAATACTGCAGATTTGTGAAGTTAAATAAACCTTCTGCTTATTTTTATAAGCAACACATGTTAACACTATTCATTTTGACTGCTTTTCTGAAAAAAATAGTTTTAAACTTGTCACCTGAAATAATAGTGATTTCACTTTAAAAATAAAGTGTTAAATTTTCGGGAAAATTGCATGTCTTTCCAGTGGCTAACATTTATTTGGTGATGTTTTGTAGTGGTTAAGATGAAAAAATGCTTGTTACAACAACTGAAAGTAATACGCCGTCTTAAATCCACAGCCACTAACTTCAATCTGCTAAATGTGGCGATACGTTTCTTCCTCCTAAGAACAGGAACAAGACAAGGATGACCCTTCCTGTTCAACATAGTGTTGGAAGTCCTAGTTAGAGCAATCAGGCAAGAGAAGGAAATCATAGGTATCCAAATAGGAAAAGAGAAAGTTAAGCTATCCTTCTTTGCAGATATTATTTTATATCTTGAAAACCCCAGGGAGTCTGCCAAAAGCATCCTCACACTGATAATCGGTTTGTGCTCAAGAGGTAAGTAGCTCATAGTTCAAGACTGTATGCTTTGAAAATAGAGTTCAGAGTTTACCCCAACTTCAGTCTGTGAAATTACTGAGTTCCACTTCTGTAGATTGTTGTTGTTGTTACCATCAGCTCAGTCTGTAACTCTAGCGGTACTTACAACAGAGATGAAGAAAGAGCACAGCCTCTGAAGCCAGATGGCCTATAATGGATTTCCATACACTGGCTGTGTGACCTTGCTTAACTAACTCAGCCTTTCTGTGCCTTAGATTTTCATCTGTAAAATGTGAATAATAACTGTAGCTACCACATAGAGTAGTTGTGGTGATGAATTAACATATGTAAAGCTCAGTGATTTTCCTATGAAATACTTTCCTTCACGTACAAAATAATCTCCAATTAATACTTTTGAAACCCATCCACATTCTGTAGCTGCTGTTGTACCTCATGGTTCAGAAGGCAGATGTTAGTCCTGAACTCTGCTCAGAGATCCGCTGATGTGGTTTAGTCATTAGAAATATGGGGATGTGTTCAGGCTCACCAGCTGCCTAACACACAACTTGTTTACCATCTTCTACTCTTTCGGTCAATCTGCAAATTGATCTCTCACTCCTAACTGAAAACATTACATCCACTGAATCCCTCACTGAGCTTTCAGAATTCCATAATTTCGAATGGGCAAAGAAACAGGGAATTTGGCTCAAAATGTAGCAATAATAGACTACAATTCAGGAAGAAGTCGTTCCTCAAATCTACTAACATTTCCAAATTGTTTTTTTCCCAGATGGCTTCACTTTTCAGATTTGGATGATCTCACAGAAATGAAAGATATGTTTCTGGAATTAATTAGTTATACCAATTATTGAATTAATTTTACCTGCCAGAGAGGGTCTTTCTGATCAGGAAAGAGCTCAAAATACTTGTGAGCTAGTTGCACTGGAGGCAGAGTCTGAAGTCTCAAGTTGGTCCAGCTTCGCACAAAGTTGGCCAGATTAACAAATGTATATAATCCCAGACGGTCATTCCCGTAGTTGGACAAATGGGTCATGAAAATGCTGATCTGGAAAAGGCAAAATGAAATTCAGTGTAGATACCAGTTATTTTAACGCTAGAGGGCAGTGTAATCACAGCAATGCTAGTTTTCTCCTTAAGCAGTATTTTGCACAGGTTTTTAATTCATGGCATGTTTTTGGATTGGACACATCGCCAAAACACTCATTATATTAACGCACATTGGAGGATATGTTATCAGCAATACTTGAGCATTTTGTCCCTTAAGTTTTAAAATATTTCATAAAAAAATAAGTTAAACATCTAGTAGCTACCATAAGTCCATGTTGTTACAATATCCTAAATGTCAACACCTAATGACCTCATGATATATGGACTGTTAATCTTTGGAAGCAGCAGGATTCCAGGAGGTTAGGATTTTATAATTTCAGTCTACTTAATTCAGTTTACTGTAGAACTTCAAGTTAAGGGGATACAAGCAATCACTGAATTGTTATTAGCATTAAGTGAATGTACTCAATTTGCATTTCTTAGAGGCTATCATGACAACAGGCTGGTTGGTGCCTGGGTTTCTGCTAAAATAACTATTGACTATTTTTCATCAATAACACTTTCAAAGACTTTTTTCATATACTTTGGGTCCATTATTTACAATATAAAATATCTTCTTTAAGAAAAGTCTTTACTGCTTGATTAGCTAAAATGGATTCTTCCTATGGAAGCAGCTGACCTACATTGAATTCATGCCTTGGATAAAAAAAAAAAATCACAACAAGTGTGGAAAACTTTTTATAATAAAATAAATTTGAATTCTGTAGGTTTGATTTCATTGGTCTAGGATATATGTAGAATGGGTACTTTTTAAAAAGCTATTGCTTTAAATTAATGCAAATAATTTTTGTTGGTTAGTTGTTGACTAATACAAATAATTCTTCTGCATGAGATGTTGAATGGCAAAGAAAATAATTGTGGCATTTATGCTGCTATAAAAAAGATCATAAAATAAATAATTCATACTAGTGAATTAGTACTTTCTTAAAATATACAATGTCATGTGAATGCATAGTAATGATTATTATAATGATCATCATAATAAATAGGTCACTAGTTAAGAAGATAAAAGAAATATTCACGAAAGTTTATTGAGATGAAGTGGCAGAGATGAGAGAAAAAGTTATATTAAGATTTGATATACTACATCAGAAAAAAATGTAAATACTTTCAACTACAAAAAAGAAGAAACAGAAGTATCCTATATTCTATGAAACAAACCCTGAAGATTTTCACGTGAAAAACTACAACTGTGATCAAGAATATTTGTGTTTCTATTCACTCTCACTGAACATACATATTAAATCTTAAACTTTCACAAACAAAATACCTTAAGGGCGATTTTAAATAGCTATGTATATCATCAGACTGATGCAGTCATGGAATTGATAAGTAAAGACTTTTACCATTTTAGGTCTTAAAAAATGAGGTTTTAAAAATGTAACCTTCTGCTTTTTTTCCCTAATAGTAGCTTCAATTCTGTGACTTTAAAAATTTCCTCTTTTACTCTTCCAAAATTTATCAAAACATTAGGCAATTGAGAAACTTATTAAAATCATTCTTAAATTTGGAAGTTTTTTTCCTTAAAATCTGTTGGAGGCAGTCTTTACTCATTTGTTTTATATGCCACATTTTTGAGTGTAGCTCAATAACAGATAGCAAAATAATAATTCAAATGGTCTTTTTCTTAAAGGTGTTAAAAATACAATTGAAAAAATACATGTATTTTTAACCTGGTTATCCACTAATTCACATTTCTTGCTTTATTTTAATGAAAGATTTATCAGTAAGTCTATATGTGTCATATTTCACTTGAATAATATCTGCACTGGACAGAAAATGGGAAACGTAGAGATACTGTGCCACCTAGTGATACTAATACATTTGAACTCCCTTTGAATTCACTTTTTAACCTCAAAAAAACCCTTTTTATTCTGTGACAATTAAAGCAGAGAGCCACTTTTTCTGCATGACTATAGAAAGTAAAAAAATGGTACTGTCCCTGGTAAAGACAGAGGCAACCCAAAATGAGTTATGAGCTAGTTACATTGCTTTTGATGAAACTAAACCTGTTTTGCAAGAATTAATGTGATACCTAACAAGGTGTTGAACTTAGGCCTGTAAAAGAAAAGATACTTAGCCTCTAAGCATGAAACCTTTCCCAGACTTTCAATTCTATTTTTATATTCCCACTTTAACATAATGCAAAATGCACCATAAGCTAAAGGACTGTTGAAAGTGATATTTTTGTAATGCATGTCACCTCATGACCCTTTTAGACTTTGGATTCAAGCCTGAGGTATGCTTTGTGCTCCTAAAGAAATACAAGGCCACGAAGGGAGTATAATTCATGAGGACATAAAACACTTCAATTTCTTCTTAAACTTTTTTTTTTGAGTTGAAGTCTTACTCTGTTGTCCAGGCTGGAGTGCAGTGGCACACTCCCAGTCACCACAGCCTTGACCTGCTGGGCTCAGGCAATCCTTCTGTCTCAGTCTTCCAAGTAGTTGGAACTACAGGCACGTGCTACCATGCCTGGCTTATTTTTTGATTTATTGTAGAGACGAGGTCTCACTGAGTTGCCCAGGCTGCTCTCGAACCCCTGACCTCAGGCAATCCGCTTGCCTCGGCCTCCCAATGTGCTGGGATTACAGGCTGAGGCACCACGCCCAGTCCTTAAACTGTTTTTTAAAATGAATCACAATAGACATGGAATATTGCATATCTTTTGGTGAACATACACCCTCTCCATGTTTTTTTTAATGATTTTTTTTTTTAGTTAGGAAAGTATGCACAATAAGCAACAGAACTGGTGAGAACAGATATATAATGAGAATGTTTTGGTCAAAAAGTTAGCTTGCTTTCCAGACAGCACTTCTCCCTTACTCATGTTCTGACCTAAGACATTTATCATGTCACTTCACTTCTTAGCAATTCCTCACTTGACAATTTCTGTACAGCATAGAAAGAAACAAAGAAAAGGCTTTAAAAGGCTACCAGTTCAGGGAAGGTAGATACTAGCCTTTTCCTAAAGGTAATTCTTTTACAGTTTTAAGAGTGCTTCAAAACTGAGATTTTATTTTTGGTTTTTTTTTTTTAAACGTGGAATGGGTTGAAATAACTTTTTATTATACCCAGAGATCCAATAAGAAGGGAAGTGTCAAAGGAAGTTACAATTACATTTATAAAACAATTTTTGCTGTAAACACACTATGAGTAATTAGTTGTTAAAAAGACTAATTAGCTGCTTAAAATTCAAATCACTGGAAACTCTGCCAAAGGCATAATGTTTATTTGATTTACAGTTGAAAAAGAATTCTTTCTAGCCTGATAAATCTAGATAGGTATAACAAGATACTTATCTGTGAATTATTTTTTTCCGTAGAAGGGAAAAGGTAAATGCCAAATACCACATATTCTAGTATTTATGAGAAAGGTAGCAGATAGCATTTGTCAAAGTCTGACCAAGAGAAAACTATGGGGAACTTTATCTGGTCTTTCCAGCATCAATCCTGTGAATCTAGTAAGTTCCAGGTATGGGATATGCATGGATTACTTGTGGGAAGAAGGAGCAAAACATGGGTCCTGGTGCAGAAACTGTTGACATACAGAGTTTATTCACCTTCTTTTGAGAAGGTTGGGGGGAGGGGAGAGGAAAGAGGGACATAAAAAAATGTATGTTACCTATAAACTATGTCTTTCATGACCATGCAGGTCAGTTCAAATCCACAAATATTTTTTCTGATTATCCTGCTATTCACCAGATGCTCTGCCTGGCTCTGAGAATGCAAATATATATACGTACTCATTCTTTTAAGTTCTGTTCATGAAAAGATTCAGAATTCAAAAGGTAGAATGGAGTTTACAGGGAAGAAAGTATCCCTTCCACCTCTGTGCCTTAGCCAACCGGTTTTGTTTTGTTTTACTATCCTTCTGGGTGACAAAAGACTCAAAAGGTTTATTTTATATGCAAATTAACTAGGAAGTTTTTTAAAGTTCTGATCACCAGGTCTCAACTCAGAGATTCTGATCCTTCTGCCTCAGCCTTCCAAGTAGCCGGAACTACAGGCGCGCGCTACCACATTTAGCTAGTTTTTGATTTATTGTAGAGATGAGGTCTCGTCATGTTGCTCGGGCTGGTCTTGAACCCATGGGCTCAGGCAATTCGCTCACCTCGGCCTCCCAAAGTGCTGAGATTACAGGCTGAGCCACCGAGCCAAGCCCTGAATATATTTTAAAAACAAGCACGTCTTGATAGGTTCATAAATATATTTTGATGTCCTAGACTTAGCCCTGTCCCTAGCACAAAAATTAATTTGGTACATGTCATTGGCTAAGTCTTCTGAGAGTTTCTCTACTGCTGACAGTTGTGTGGAGACACACAGAAAATTGCTAAAGAAAGAGCTGGTTCACATGGACATGTGCAATTGGCTCCTAATTCCCTTCAAGCCTGTTTTATACCAAAGCAAAATTCGGCTGCATTTCCCCATGTACCTCGCAGATATATATTATCTTATAACTTATCTATTTAAAAGTCTCCCTTCCATGTCATTTTTCCTTTATTTCGTGGTGTTTTAAAGGTGGTGTGGCAAAGGACAAGTACACTGTAATTTACTTGTGGTTCTTCTTCCGCCTAGATTTTAAGACCAGAAATACTCTTCTGCGAAAAAAAATAAGGAAACCAGCTTATTTTTATGGAGCAGTGTTCAAACTCTGGATGTTTCATTTTTTATAATTGTGAAAAATTTATGAGTTCCATCACTGTTCATCACATGAGCACATCTCATTCTGGAAAATAAGTAAAAAGTTCTGAGCAAAAAAGCAATTCTAATGGCACTCTAGGTCTGAACTTCCTGTATGATAATTTCCTGGTTTGGACCCCTCTAACCATGCCTCGTTAGCTTTTGAGTTAAATAAAATTCATGTATCATTCTAAAGTACTGCATGGTTCCAGCTTACCTTTCCAATCTTCCCTATACACCCCGTCTGTGCTGAGCA